TATATCCTATATTCTATTACATTATATGGCATATCCCATATTATATAATATACTATGTTCTATATTATATCCTATACTCTATATTATATATTGCAAATGCTATCTTATCTTTCATTGTAAATCTTATCATGTACTTATTAAAAAATCTTATTATGTACTCTTGAACTTATTAAGCATGTTTCAATGTTGCTTGGTTACAAATCTTAGAAACCAATGTTAGTCTCACCACCTGGAACTTGCAAAGAGACTGCTCTCCACACCAAATTCCACTAGAGTTATTTTGATGTAGCAACAACTACAACAAGTATATATAGGTACTAATATATCAGAGCAGCCAGCTATCCTGGCTGGAGTAGAGCCCCACCCAATATAGAATCAAATTTAACAAGGGCATAGCTGTGATTAGAAAGTGTGTACCTGTACATGGTCATGGCTATACTACTAGTACATGTACATGAAAATGGATTCCTGATGCATGCTATTTTTTTCAAAGGCTATAAAATAGAATTCAAGTTCCCTTTAGTGAAAGTAAAGCTTGCAAATCATTATCCCTAATATCCTTGTTAGCTGACAAAAATTTTGTAATAATATATCGTACATGACTTGATAAAGGGCAGAGTTTGGACTTTGAAAGAAGCCAGAAAACATCAACACAACCATCAGAAACTACTCTAAAACACCATTTTTACTTTAAAATGTCCCATGTAACATGTCAACACACCCCTTTGCAATTAATTAATCTATTGTTCAAGGCCACAACATTCAAAGTATAAAGAGCACTCTACAGTATACATGTTCATTGAAGTTTTGAGCTGTTGATTCCAACAACAAATTTTTGTGCAATGGACGATTTTTGAATTACTACATCACTACCAAACATGTACACTAGCATCGTTACTATAAATAGTATCAATTACTACAATAGACAATGATATATCATATACTACAATAGCATAGTCTCAATCAATAGCATTGTACTATAAATAGTATCAGTGTTACTATAAATAGTATCATTTACCTCTATTCCTAAGGAAGAATGACACTATGTCTCAGTTCCGGTCTCCAGTGCATTGAGTGGGAGGGAACATTGATCCAATGAATTAAGAGACACTCCTAGATCAGGAGAGACCCAGATTTTATGAAATGATGACAAAGACAGAGTTTGTAAGAGAGAGGGACCATCTAAACATGGGCAAAATAGGAGGTATTTTAATTTATATTTTATCATAAAATTGTAAATAATTACCTGGAGTGTTATAGCTAAACATTCTACAGTATTCCAGTGGATGAATGGCAGCAATGATCATAGCATTAAAGACACTGTAGACCACTGGATAATAATGAAGTTAAGGATCATAATTGAACATTATTAATGATTAATGTACTTGCGCATGTACATAGCTCAAGGAGAAAAAATAATAAGAAGAAAGGAGAGGATAGAGAAAGAAAGGAGAATCATTATACACATGCATAAGCCTTGGGCATTTTTCAGATTTCGGCCTTTGCTTAAAATGGCGACAACTTGAAAAATTTAAGTCGGAATCAGCTCAAACTTTCTACACAGCATAAGGACGTCAATATGTATCAGAAAATGTAATAAAAACTGTGAGTGATTTTTAAGCCATGTTTTGGAAAAACTATGGGCTGTAGCCTTGAGTATTTTTCGAATTTTTGCAAATTTCTTAAAATGGTCGTAACTCAAAAAATTTAAGTCGGAATCAGCTCAAACTTTCTACATAGCATAAGGACATCAATATGTATCAGGAA